ACACACACACACACACACACACACACACACACACACACACACACACACACACACACACACACACACACACACTGAATCATGAACATTTTGCTTGTGGGGGATATTCAGGTTAATCTGTCAGTCTGGTAAAACCTCTGATCTATGAAAGCACCTCAAGTGAAATGTGATTGTGCCACCCACTGACTGTGGATGATAGTATCTTGACATATCAGAAAGCATGTGTACTTACACAAGAGCTTATTCCAAACCACACCCTGTGATACAAATCTATCCTGCAACATGTGTTCTGGGTTTATCTGCCTGCGGTACACGGTGGGCAAAGTGTGCAAGTCAGATAGCATAAGATTGGCAGCTTGGTATTTAATCACTCCTGCACTTCCTTTAACCATAGTATTTGAAAATGTATTAAAAGAAAGCAAAATGAACATCAGATCTTAAGCTGAGCAGGGATTGGATGCAGGGCTGTGCTTTCAGACAGATTTATTCAGAGTTGCTTAACCCTGCTGTTAAGTTGCCAAACCAGGGATGTGACCACGCGAAAGTGTGTGGAAATGTTCTCTTTTGCATTGGGCCAGCGAGGGGAACTGCCAGTCTGGTGATAATTATAGTATTGAGAGATGACAGGAGACTAAACTAATTAACATCTAAGGACCATGTCTGTTAAATGAACTGCTCAAACAAATAGACTAAATAAACTCAACCAGCGAGCGCACTCAAGCTCACCCTAGTCTCCTCTTCACTGTTACTGCACAAAACACAGTGATTGTGTTTTGATCTAAATAGCAAAGCAGTTATGTTGAAAACAGGTACTTAAGGTAAATCCAAACACTGACGCTAGTTATGATTCAAATCAGCATTTATTTCCACCTTTCTTCTGTGTGGAAGACATTCGAATTTCAGTTTGCGGTCGCCATAACACATGTTTTTAGACTTTTGAGACAAAATAATTTCATTCTCAATACAAAATGTAAGATAGAAATAGTGGAAAAATTAAGTGATGTGTTCAGAATATTGTGCCATAGTGGTTAAGTGGATCTGGGAATCCCTCTATTTACTTTCTCAGGATGTAACTGGCACCATGCTGTTGTTTCTCTTTGCTTTCTGCTTTTACAGCCCTGTAATGGAAAACCTCTAAACAACCTTTTTTATTCAGCTTTATAAATGAAAAAAAAAGTGTTGCTTCAAATGATGAACAGTGATGCTTTTCAACAGGAATGAGCTTGAGACTCTTTGAATGACGTATAAGGGAGAGCTGTTATAAGAATGTCATAACTTAGTATTCAGAAATGACACAGTATGATCTTCAGACTGTCATTGCACAGTGTTCATTGTGTCTGATGTGCAGCTGCAGCAACAGCTTTAACTCTCCTCTTTTGGCACAGCTTGTGGGCTTCTCTGTATTACTCTCTCTCAAATAAGTGTATTCTCTGTCCATCCTAAAACGTTTCCCTGCTCACTCCTTTCTAATGCTCTGCAACCATTCTTTCTCTGTTTTTAAGGCTCTCTCCCGCCCAGCGACCCCCAGCTACTCTTTCCCTTTTCGTCCCTTTTATTCTCATGAAGTTTGCATTCCACACCTCCTCTGTAGACAGCACACAAAAGAGCAGAAAGCGCCACTCCTGACCTGTGGCAAACATTCCAGTCCCCTCGGCCCTTTCACACAGCCAGAGTCCCTTATCCTTTCAGCAGCATCAGCCAGAATATGTCTCTTGTCCAATGCCACTGCAATGAGATGCCACCCACAGCAGGGCCAAAACAAATGATAGTTAGTGTGAGGTACTTGCTGTGTGATCAGGAATATTACTAAATAAAATTGTTTTAAAAATCATGCACAAAAACTGCATATTTTAAGGTATACAAAAATGGTATATTCATTTTGTTATGAAATAGGTTAATATGCATTGTACATAAAAAAAAAGCCCCGATAATCATTCAATCCATATTTAATTACGATAATTAAAAACAGACATCGGCTGAAAAAAGCCCGGAAACCAGTGAATGTTCCAGGAGCATCTGCTCATGTATCCTTAAAGTCTGTACTCAGGAAATTAACTATTAAGCTATGGAAGTGTGGTTAGAGGAGATGGGGGTGTCCTTTTCTATGACTTGGACTTCTACAAAGAGATTACAGATATACAGATGGATGATGTGGGTTCAGGGAACATCTGGAGTGTGCTCAGAGGTGTCAGAGGGAACAGGTGAAAGCTCTGATGAAGGATGTTGAAAAACCTGCCAGAAGGAGGGTTATGTGGGTTCAGAGGTTCAGAAAAGAAAGTATACAGAGTGAAGTTTGAGGTGAAAAACGGAGGATGATTATTAGTCATTATCAACAGCAAAAAAAAGTATATTTTGCGTGAAAAAGCATGTATGGACTTGTGTTATCTCCCCCTCTCTAATCTTTCCTCTGTCCTTCTGTGTCTTAGTGCCTCAATCTTCTGAAATTCCACTGCTGTCCAGCCACCTCTTCATCATCATTCACACCCATCCCATTTCTCCAAAGGTAAAGCCTTCCAGGTAAACCCTGACCTTACTCCAGTGACTTATTCCTTAATTTGTTTCAAATTCACTGGTGGACAGCGTTGAGACTTGTCTCTATCTTTACAGCTTTTCAACTGTAAATTGAATGGATTTAGTAGCAAAATAGCCCTAACGTGATTTGGTTATTTTTTGGGTCATAGTTAGATGACAGGTTTTTCTTGCTAAGCATCCATAAAAATGAAAAAGGTTAACCAGCATTGGTGGATATTTACACTCACATATTTTTTTGGGGCATATGACAATGTTTTGGCTTCCATTCTATTGCTATTCTGAGATCTAGTCTGCCATTATACTCAATTTTAGGTTATTCTGAAATTGTCAGAATTGTGCCTAAACTTTCCCTGTGATGCATGTTTCGCACATTGTCAGCTTGGATTTAGGGCAGCTTTATCTGACAATGCAAATGTTTCTTTTATTATCTCATTGTATACTTTAGCTTTCTAGTGAGAGAAGTGGGTCACAGCTTCGGGATGTTCTCAATAAGCAGACTTTAGTTTTGTGAGACAGCAAGAGGAAATTGGGCCTGAACTCTTAAGCTGACAGTGTGCTCCCTGTTGTCAGCATAGCATACAGTTTACCACAAGCAGTGATGATTGGATAAAGATGTTTCATTATCTATTCTAATGTGTTGTGCTTATATATGCATTACATGTTTGAGGTTCATTCTTTTCACAGCAAAACTAAACCCTGTCTTCGCATAGTCTGCCTGCTGGTTATTGGCTAACCCTTTAAGGATCTAACCAGGACTCAAATCATTGATAAAATATGTCTTCCCTTCGGGAGTATTCCTTCAAAGTTTTGACTGAAAAGAATAGCTACTCTTGACTCTCGATGAAAGTAACCTCAGTTTGCCCTCAGAGGAGACTAACAGGCTGAAACACTCTGGAACCTGTCCCTGTCCACTCCCTCTGTTCCTTCTGTGTGTGTGTGTGTGTGTGTGTGTGTGTGTGTGTGTGTGTGTGTGTGTGTGTGTGTGTGTGTGTGTGTGTGTGTGTGTGTGTGTCCATATAGTGAATTTAAAACTTCACAGCATGTTCACATGTTGAAATGGGGGTGAGGTTAAAAGGGTTAACCAAGGGGGAGGATTAATACAGGGGAACCTGCTCTCATTGTGGGCTTGCCATAGTCAGGTTTCAAAAGCTGAGAGGGATCAACAGAGAATTCATCCGACCTATAGTCCACCTGTGTGGAGCTACGTTTCAGTCACGTTTATCCAACTAATTATCTTAATTTGTAATCCTTAATCTGAGCAGAGAACATCCATCATAATAATTCCAGCTCAATCCAATTCCTTAAACAGACCTAATTTGTTGATTGTTTCATTATCTTGTAAATGCATTAGGCATTAAGATGTGTTTTTTTCTTTGGGGGAACCAGCTACTTAAAGTTGATCGTTTTTGAGACGCAAACATTCTCAGTAAGATAAAAAGAGAAAGGCATTAATAACTTTAGTGGCAAGTAAGAAATTACTTTCGACAAATCGCTGAATCACGAATCACTCCAGATTGCTTTTTGGACATCCACACTTCACTGCTTGGGGTTATAATAATCAGTATTAGAGTCTATATAAAACAAAGACCTTGCATGTGGTTGCCTAACATTAAGCAACACGTTTACACTCTACAGATGGCCTTTAAACAGAGGGGAAAAGCCTGCTTTCAGATCTTATCATGTGAACTTTGAACCCTTACGACATTCATCAAGAAATGTCACCATAACAGACCCTTGCTGATCACAACATTGTCAAACCAATCCAAGACAGCTGATAACCAAATTCAGACCATTCTTCTTACCAATACCAACCTATGTGGATTGAATATGTGAATTACAGTGATGCAATTAGCAATATGTTTGATGAGGCATTATGCATCCGTTAACAACTAGGGCTGATCAAGTGTGTTGCACCGTCCATTCCCACCAGGTGGCAGTACAATGCAGTGCATTATGAAACTTTCAACCTTACCTTTAACAATTATGGTAAGCATGGGATGACATGTTATACAAATAAGTCAAGAAGATCCAAACCACAAGCAAGTGCTAGGGTTTATAGGTGTAGCAACAGCTAATAGCATAATAATAATAATAATAATTCTATATAATAATTAGCATTATTGTTATTATTATAATTGGTATGATTTGTTATGTGCATCTGTGTAGCCTATATTTATTAAAGCTCATTTGTGTTAAATTAACTATTTGTATTTTATTATAAAATATATATATATGTTTTTTATTTAAAAACCCTGGGCTGTATAAAGACTGTGCTAAAACTTCTAAATAAGTCCTATCAAGAATACACTTTAATATAGTAGTAGGCTACATCAGAAATAACATGAGCTATATGAACAACACATCATGTGACTACTGTATGACTGTTAGTTATTTGTTGTTGGGGTCACCAGCTCAGAAATCAAGTAAGCACTGCCCCCTCTACAACACGCACGTGCGCGCGTGCACGACCGCACACATTTGAAAAGAATTAACTTCATTTCAGGGCAAGCGGCACCTATCAAGTTTAAAATCGTGTCCTCAAGGGGTGTTTGCAATGCTACGTCTTTTTTCGTTACCGATTTTATTGAACATGTGACTGACTTAGAGGCTCACATGGCTGCGGTGGCTGCATGATCCGCTTTAGTTTTTAAAAGTCCAGTGATCGGGAGCTCCCTCGGCAGCAACCATCCAGAGCAGAGGACCGCTGAAAAACACAGCGCCTACCCGGACAATCCATGGCGAACAGCGGGCAGAAAGTTGTGCTAATCACCGGCTGCTCCTCCGGCATCGGGTTACGAATCGCCGTCACGCTGGCCAAAGATGAGAAGAAGCGTTACCATGGTAAATGCGCTTTCTTCTACATTGTTTCTTTGATTGGACCTATAAGTAGCAAGGCTATAACAGTGTGGTTCGCTTGTAACCCTATTCCTTGTTTACTTTCGCTGCAAAGCTACTGCACCAACCCTCCTTTACGCACAGAGTTCGGTAGTGTTAAGTGCAACTCTTCGTCTAAAAGTCAAATAAGTTATGTGGTGCCTTGATATAACTACTCAACTAAGTGATATCGGATCCATATCCTTTTGTAAGGAATGGGTTTCAGTCGCCCCTTTAGTTCAACAATTATCATCTGAAAGCACAATTTCCAGGGAAGGGCTCTGCAAGGATGCCTCTCTCCAGGCAGAATCATAAAAGGAGTCTTCTCAGTTTTCTTTCAAGTGACTTCTCCAGCACAAAGCCCTCTTTTATCGCAGTGTATTGTAGACCGCCTGCTCCGATTTAGTACCGTGTCTAATGTGCCTATAGTCCCCTCACTGGAGCGAGTGTTGAAAGGGGGACAAAGTTTGAGACCTGTACAAGCGAGGGTTCACTCTAGAGCAAGGGGCTGTTTGAAGTCTTCATTGGTGCACGGTGGATTGAGAGTGTCCCACTTTGACATTGTTGGTCCATGCGTCTCCTCTCCTTCTTCCCAGCCATCATTAATGTCACTCTAGGAATTGGAGATCCAAAACGTTACTATCTCATGGAGCCTCAGATATAATTGCATCAGACCACCTTCCCACCCCTGTTGGTAGGAGTTGGCCCTCAAGACCCCTGTTGTTGCTAGATGTGACTTGATACTGCATAACATAATTAGCTGTAGGCCTGCAGTCAATGTGTAAAGATTGAAACACATGATATCAACAGTGATCTTATACATTATCTTATTAAATACATGTTAGTTTTACTGCTTTCTGTTTTGCCAATCAAATAACCACAGTGCAAGGGTTAGTAAACGTTTTTTTTTTTTCTTTGGATGGCCATGCGGTATCTAATTGGGTTTATTACCGTGAATTAGATGAGCAAAACAAAAGCGATTAACTGCTTCCATAACACTGGTTTGAGCACTTTTTTCACAACGTGACCTGCTTTCAATAAGGCCACCTCTGAGCAATGAAGCTGATCTGCTATTTTCCCAGGAGCTTTATGAAATCCAACAGAGATTAAATATTGCATTGTGCATAAAGTGTTAAATAGTTGCAGTAACATGCACCAAACTCAGAATATCCCCAAAAATACCTTTGTGTGTGCAATGCAATGTGGTTTATTCAAGAATGTTTAAGCAGCCCAAGAGTAGGCTAATTCCTCCAGGAGCCAGAAGAACAATGGATCTCTTGTTCACTTCTCTACCAATAAAATAATCTCTTTCTTGCTTCATAGACACACAGCTCTCCAATCATAAGATTAGACTTAATTAGACGTCATTAATCCATACAACAAGTTGCGACAACAAGTTGCATGACACTTAACTTCCCAAATTCTGCAACGTTCTCAAAACTATTGGCGAGACTAATTTCTATACATTATGAAATGAAACGTCATTGACAGTGAATTGCAAATCAAAACCTCTACAGCACTGCTTCCCTCTTTTATTTATTTAGCCAACCATGTGTCTGTTCGATGAGAATAAGATGATGGTCTACCTTTGTCTGTGAAGGACAACAGGTAGATTAAAAATGATTGTGTGCAAAGAGGTTGTTTACTCCCCCTGATTGCCATTGTGCAACACCACTGTCTCCCTTTTTTGCTGCTGGATCGTGACAGACAGAAAAGTGTTAGCACTACACACAACATTAAAGAAGCCATGAAAGTCAAGTCAACACAGTAGTGATAGCTGCTGTTGCTTGTCATGATAAATTAATCTGCTGTGGGTTAATGTCACCCAACGTTTAAAGTTCAGGGAAAATCAATGCTATGTCAGGCGTGGTCCCTGCTTAGAACTTTGACCTGCACGTCTGACTCTGACACAACAGTGTGTGTGTGTGTGTGTGTGTGTGTGTGTGTGTGTGTGTGTGTGTGTGTGTGTGTGTGTGTGTGTGTGTGTGTGTGTGTGTGTGTGTGTGTGTGTGTGTGCGTTAGTCATTAGTGGTCCCACAGATTAGAGGTTTCTCAGTACTGTGAGTCACTTTTTCAGTGTGACAATGGGTCAAGAGTGTCTTTTTAAAGATAGAGTAAATATTGATGGACTTTATTTGGAAAAATTGACTAAAAAGTCATATTATTACTGTGGATTTATTTATGGTTCCAAAAGAAGTTACTGTGCAATTTAAACAAAACAACTGTTCTGGTTTCGAGTTTGAAGCCACATCATATGAATAACATAATATTTTGCTCTTCTCTGTCTCTCCCCATCAGTCATTGCCACCATGCGGGACCTGAAGAAGAAGGACAAGCTAGTGGAGGCAGCAGGAGATGCCTATGGCAAGACCTTGATGTTGCTTCCACTAGACGTGTGCAGTGACGATTCAGTAAAGCAGTGCATCAACAATGTCAAGGACCGCCATATTGATATCTTCAGTGAGTGGGATAAACCTGAAACTAGGCTCCTATATGACCCCTCCCCCAGCTTTGAATTACGTGTTTTGTTTCTACACATATATTTCAGATAAGTTCAACAATGGTTTTAGTATATGACCTTCAGTCAATAAGTAAAGTACTATAAAACTTAGTATTTTTATTTCTGTCTAAAAATGATATTGAAATGCATCGGCTAAGTTAAAACCTTTCCATGATAGTAGCCTTTTTCTTTCAGACATAATGTGATGTCATACTTTCCTGAGAGACAGAAAGAGAGACAGAGAGAAACAGTAAACATATAACAGACTTGTCAAGTGGAAAAGCAAAATATCACAGTACAGTGTTACGACTGTACTAATATCACAACTTTAGGACAACATTTTTGAAGCAACTGAAATGTTTTCAGTCTCTTGTAGCGTAGGTTTTGCAGTTGACATAATGAGTTGGTGGGGGGAGGACGTTTGGAGAGTCTTGAAATTCTAGTGGGAAGAAAGATTCTGCCTCAAAACAGAAAGGACTACCATGCTAATATCATGAGTGTGTCAAAATGATCTGAAATGTAGTGTTTAGCTCTCTATGCCCATGACACCTTCTTTTGCTTGTTTACTTTTCTGAATCGGGGTGATTGCAGCTCAAACAAAGGAGGCAATGTATTTTATATATATATATATATTAATCCGAAAATATCTCAGATTGTTAATGGTATTGATCAATCAAAATGTACTCTCTCCGCCCTACTCTAAATCTTAAACAACATCCCTCTTCAACTCTTTACTCAAGAACCAGTAGCCCTGCAACATTGACTGGTGTTCCATCACACTTCACTGTTGTCGCACACTGACATCTGGTGGCAATATTTAGAAATACCATGTGGAATCTATGAAAGAGAGATCTATTTTGTAGAAAGGCCAAAGTGAGCGGTGTGGACAAAACAGATATCACTTCATATTAAGTCACCGCAGAACAATATCTCATTAGCATTTTTGAATATAGCAATGTTGCGGTATGTCATCCCTGCGTCCGTTTGTTTCCTGTCAGTCAACAATGCAGGTGTGGGCTTGCTGGGACCTGTGGAAAGCATCAGCATTGAGGAGATGAAAAGAGTGTTTGAGACCAACTTCTTTGGGGCTGTTCGCATGATCAAAGAAGTGATGCCTGACATGAAGAAGAGGCGTTCAGGGCACATCGTGGTCATGAGCAGTGTCATGGGTCTTCAGGGTATGTTTTTGTGTATTTAACAATGCAGGATAACATCTGCAATCCAGTTAAGTGATCAGAGAACACATGAAAATATACTAATGATTCTAACAGACAGTGAAAAGACATAGACTTTGCAGATGTTGACAGGAGCACTGCTCTTAGAAAACGTAATACAGTTTATTAAATTAAATGTAAATGTAAATCTAAAATGTATTGTTTTCTTAAAGTTGTACTAAATATTTGTGTATTTAAAGGCTTAACTTAATTCTATTTATGAGCTGGGTGGATTTTCAAGTTAAAGAATATCAGATAAGTTGTTAATCACATGCAAGTAGGCGGAACAGACTTTCACATTTGTTCGGGCTCGAATATTCTCCTATTTCTGTTACTTGGTTGATTTGAGTATCTTAGGCCATTATTTGTCAATTAAATTTGATGCATGTCTGCAGTTAATTGGGTAGTGTGAAGTGAAGAATAATACAAAGCAGTGATGCTCTCCTTTATCTCTCTGTTTTGTTGATTTAGGAGTGGTGTTCAATGATGTTTACACTGCCTCGAAGTTCGCCATTGAAGGTTTCTGTGAGAGTATGGCCGTGCAACTGATGAAGTTCAATATCCGGTAGATTACCCTCGTCCTCTGTTCTTCCTTCACATCTGTCTTTGCTTTGTAGTGTACATGCTGCCTCACAGGCATTTCTGCATCTGACTCCCTACAGGTTGTCCATGATCGAGCCTGGCCCAGTGCACACTGAGTTTGAAACAAAGATGATGGCGGATGTAGCCAAGATGGAGTATCCAGGTGCAGATGCCGACACGATTCGTTATTTTAAAGACGTTTACCTGCCATCATCCATAGATATATTTGAAGCCATGGGCCAGACGCCAGATGACATAGCCAAAGTAAGGGAACAGGTTTTTAATTCGCATTTGACCAATCTCTTTCAGGATTCCAGGATCAATAAAGTGTTTCTCTAATAACTAACTGCTGCAAACATTCAAGAAGTATATATAGCAATGAAAACATAAAAAATGTATTTGTTCTCGTCTCTCCAGTGCCTCAAAAAGGTTATTGAGTCAAACAGCCCTCGCTTCAGGAACCTCACCAACAGCCTCTACACACCAATTGTGGCCTTAAAGTATGCTGATGAGACTGGAGGCCTGTCTGTCAACACCTTCTACAACCTACTCTTCAATTTTGGACCTCTCATGCACATCACCATGAGCATCCTCAAGTGCCTGACATGCAGTTGCCTGCGTAGACGCACCATCTAACCTAACTGAGGGTGTACAGGTCCTCCCCCCTTACCCTCCCACTTTGTTGACCCCGTTAAGTTCTTGGTAAACTAGAGCCAGTAACTCTTGGGAGAGAAAGTGCCTTTTTAGTTCAAAGACACTACCATAATAAGCTTTGCCAGAAAATATGCGCAATTGCACAAGTTTGTCCCAGATACGTTGTATGCAGGATGGCCTCATCTACACAAACACACACACACACACACACACACACACACAGCGTACTTTACAGAAAAACAAGCATCACACACTGATTATTGTACATACTATAAATCTAAGGTCATGCCTTAGTCAGATCTAAAGTTGTTATATAGTGGTTAGATGTCTATATCGTTGAAATGAGAAAGGACATGAAATGCAATCCCCATGCACAGACAACAAAGCACAAGAGATGAACTCAGTTACAGAGAGAAACAATCAAATGATAGTGTAATAATAATGCTATAACTTGTTTTCTAGAGATGACTGTTCACTCAGGCTCATTAGAGTTATAACATGTATGACAGAAACAGAAATAATAATCTACCTTTTCTGTTTTATGCCCTATATAATATTTCACGTTTTCCTTTGCATAGGGTTCTCATGGTCATAACTGCTGTTGAATCTGATTTGAATTGTTTTGATAGATTGATTGTTTTCAAGGTTTGTGAAGGGGTGGGTCAGATATTTTTAATCTAAAATCTTGATTTAAAAATAAACAGAAATCTGATTGTTGTGTTTTTTTGTTTTTTAAGGATATAAATAATAAAAGTGATTACTTTGAATAATAATATTTCTTGATGGTTTAGGTTCTGCAAGGCAATTCTCTCTGGCTGCAAGATTCCTTGTGTACCAGGAGGGGGCAGTATTTCACTGCTTTCTTTCGTTGCGATAAACCTGTGGAGTTAACAGGCTCGCCAGCAAGCAGATCTGCAGTTGTAGTGTAAAGGAATTTGTCCTAAGTGGCCTGAGATAGACAAGTTCAACATGAAGAGTTATAATTTGGCTGCCGTGTTTTTTTGTGTGTGTGTGTCTTTGGTTTGATTCAAACGTTGGATTTGTGAAATATTTCAATAACATCAATCCATATTGATAATTTTAATATGTAAATTGGGAAAACCGTATCCCTTAATCTTGGGAAGCATTTTATCAAATGTTCACATAACACCATATCACAGCTTACAGATATTTTTAGCTTTTTGGTCATATAGGTGACGATGCATTGTGCCAACAGAGCATTTATTAGTTTTTATATTTTGCAGGTTTCTGCTGTGCACATACACACACATTAGCATACTTTTGCATGCGTGTGTGTGTTTGTGTGTGAATGTGTAGTAAGAGCACGTCTATGGGCCAAGTTAGTGATCTGTTGATGATGGATATAAAGAGGTCATGGCCTGCTCCCCATCAAACCCCTCCCTTGAACCCCCACCCCTCACACACACACACACCCTGCTTTGTGCCGTGTGAGAGAATGTGACCTGGTTCCCATCCCTGAGGAGGGGTGAACCCTAATGACGGCCTCCTCAGACACATTGCGTTGCGCTGAGCCTCCCTCTCCAGCTGGCCCCCTCAACCCATAGGGCCGGGACCCCCTGGTCCACACTGGGAGAGGCCTGCGTTCTGGCCTTGATAGCCTGTCTGCCCTATTCCATCCCATCATGCAATGCCCCGCCGTGTTCAGTCAGGTTACACTGGCTGACTGCATGGAGCTCATCATCGGAGGACAGTGCAACTGGTTGCAGACCTGTAGATACTGTGCAATGTACAATGATGGAGCGCCTCGGCTCTGTGTATGTGTCTTCATCAGAGGCGACAGCCCCGCACAATGGGACAAAGACGCTGTCAATCACAATCAAATGGGTGTGTGTGCGGGGGGTGGTGAAGGGGAAGGGGGGAAAAGGTTAGGGGAGGAGTCTGTATTTCTTGAATGTTTAGGGGGATGCCAAGACCCAATGTGGGACGCTGAAGGCTAAGTGCAAGGGGCGGGTGGGGTGTTTGTGGTAGTACGGGGTGGGGGTGCGTCGCATTTGGGAAGATGAGAATTGGGGTCCCGATGGCCTGAATGGAAGACCTGTTTACTAACTGAATGAACACAGGAGTTACAGCAAAGTCTCATTAAACAAGGGGTCCTATCAAACCATTGTTGTGTACCTTTGTTTCACAATGAAGAACATAATTGCAGTATAATGAGGCCAGCGTGACGTGGTTAGGTCTCCCTTTAATTGTAACCCTGTCACAATACTGAGCCACAAAAATGCACAGGCTCTGTCTTCATGCACCCTTGCTGTGTACTGAAAAACAAGCTACTTGCATTTTTACAGAGTGATGATGAGTAGGCCTATAGGGAAAAGAGGAGAACCTCATAATGTACGTATCTCTGACCTGTTTTTGTAGGATTTATTCTTTGGAATCTTTGTAGTCTTTTTGTCGCCTTGTTGGTTCAGGCATTTTATTGCATCTGCACCGGAGAACCAAGCGTAAACATGACTCGGGGAGTGATGGGAAAGACAAAGGAGACATAGTTCCAAAACAAAAGGGAGCTGCAAGAGTCAGGAAATGGTGAGATCTGAGTTGTGAACATGGGAGATACAAGGAGAAAGGGAACAGTGTGAAAGAAGCAGATGAAGCAAAAGAAAAATTAAATCTGGGTGCTGTGGATGCTGGATCAAGTGGGGCTGATGTCTAGACAGGGTGCTTCAGCCTGATCCCAGGTCAGGATGGATCAAAATGTGGCTGCACTTATCTGTTTCTGTTATTGCTTCTCTTAAAAAGCTTAAAAAAGGTTGAGGTCAGTTGCATTTTAACATGGCTCTATGTGACTGGAGGTGTAGCCACATGGGATTTATTACCCTCCATAGAGATGTTGTGGAGTCTCAGGAGAGCTATCAATCTTTATATAGTCAAAACAGGAGAAGCCCAAGTTGCCCTGTGGCTGGCCTGAGGCGACCATGTCCATTAGGGCAGCCGAGCCCACGGGGAGAAACAAACACACCGTCCAGCTCTCCTTCTCTGTCCACTTATTTTTTGTTTTCTTCTCACTCTCTCTGAGGCCGACGGTCTGTCTGCCCTCTCCTCTGTTCATCTCCATAACTTTGCAGTGTAGTGACCTCTCACAGACCCAACATGGGTCACTTGTTTATTCACATAGGGGGGGGTCATCATCTCTCGTTCTAAGTAGAGCTGCTTGTTTGCAAGACTATTCAGGATCTTTTGAAGGTCATAATATAAATCAAAATCTTGGCTTTTGCTGGCCTGTCATACCCATTGTTTTACACACAGAACCACTATTGTCACCATCATTACAGCATTAGCGTTTTCCCCTTCCTTACTGCTTTTCCAGAACACAAACAATTCAGCAGGAATTTCCAGGCTCATTGTGCCCACTACCGTATGGTTTTGTTCTGCTCTGTTCACTCTCTCAAAACTACCAGTTCCAATGACTGTGAAACTCTGTGATTAGAGGGTTCATTCTGTGTACAAGCATTATAATCGCCCACCAAGGGGATGATGGTTGATTGTGCTGGGCTTTAAGATGATGTAATCTGAGCTCGGGTAAAATGATCCGCTTGTGTTTATAGGAGAACAATGAGGTAAGATTAGTGTAGTATTCTGAAAGAGGAGTCTGACAGTAAGAAGCTGATTTCAGAACGCAGATTTTGCCAAAAACCTGAAAATCCTGTTTGTGGGCGAGGCAAGCCGAAGAGTATGACACATTTCAGAAATCAAACGTAAACAGATAAGGGAAAAACATGAACTCAGACAAACATTACTCTTTTCTCACCACCCTGTGCCCTCACATTACTTTCTGTAACATATCATCTTTCTTTGGGGTTCTAACCTCTTCCACCATGGATTAGTTGTTTCTCTCTTTCAATGTTGTAATTAACTGTCTGGGAATCTAGTGCATGTGGAGAAGCATCTATATTTTTAATTTACTGGGGAAAAAAACATATGATTTGCTTTCTGGTGTGACCAACATCAAGGAAGGAATATTTCAGCGAAGGGATAATTATCTTTTGTATTTGTTTCCCAAGGATGGCTGTGTTTTTCTCTTATACCTCTGGCAGCGACAGAGTGGGTTTAGCGAGTGTTTATGTGGTGAGGACAAATACAGAGAAGAGAGGTGTAGAAGATAGGATAGATAGATAGAAGCATAGACGAATAGACCGCAGGATGGACAGACAGATAGAGTCTTTGTTTGATAGACAGTGACCTCATCAAGGAGTCCATCAGCATTGAAGTTTGTTTTTGCCTGGCAACCCTGGCTAAATCCCAGCCTTATTTCCCTGCCAGAGAGGAAAACCTCGCTCCATCAGCTCTGCCATGGATCTGATGATCTATTCACTGTCGCCAACCATGAAGATGAGAAACCAAACAGGGTGCGGATACGCCCATGGCAGGAAGCCTGTCTTAGCCCAAAGAGCCCACATCATTGTTTATTCAGCTTTAGTGCATCATATCTTGGCAGACAGGGTGAGAGGGGAATGGCTGTTAAAAATGTAGTTCATAGGAACATTAAAAAGCAGCTCACTAAAATCTAAGTAATAATGAAAATGGTTATCTTGCACACTATAAAGTACCATACGCATACAAGAATACACATTCTGGTCATCTGCTTCATTCCTGAGCAAATGAACGGTAAACTTTGTGCTGCATTCATGTATCAAGAGAGGCTGTTTTTTTTTTCTTCTTCAAAACAAAAGAATGCCCCCGTCTATTGACCGTGAAAAGATGTTCATAGATTTGTCCCCGTTGAAGCGATGTCTTTGTTGGTTATCTCCATTGGTGAGCCGCCTCCATTTGGCTCGGCCTAATCAGAACACAAACACGCCTCTGTCATTTGGCTGCACTCCCTCCACCCCCACCTTTCTCAGTTTGTCTCTTATTAACTAACACTACAAATTACATTCTATTTTCTCCCTGCTCAATTCCTTTCCACTTCTACTTTGTGTATCACATCTCATCCAAATTCTTATTTATGAATGTGTGTGTGCATTAGCGCAAGAAAGGAAATCACACCACACACTGTCAGTCTCTCTCCAGCCCTCTTTCTCCCACATTGATTTGTTTTTCTCTCTTTCATCTTTCTCCAATCTAATCTAGTCATCTAGATTGCGTTTGTCTCTTGCTGAGGCACAGATTTTGAGGCCTGGCATAAATTACCTCTGCTTGTCTGAACAAAGCCTGGTTTCGCTTGCCAGAGGGGAAGTGTTGCAACGTAAAGAGATCCCTGAGGGAGAAGACTTATTCTCGATGCATGATGAGTACAGGGTGGTAACCTCCTGAAAAGGTTCAAGATTACAGTTTCCTTACAACTGCAGTCATTAAACCACTCTTAAAAAATAATCTAGATGCTTCAGTAATGAACAATTACAGGCCCATATCAAACCTGCCATTTCTAGGTAAAATCATTGAAAAAGTTGTTTTTCAACAGTTGAGTAACTTCTTGCATTTAAATAACTGTTTGGATGTGTTCCAGTCAGGCTTTCGACCAAACCACAGCACTGAGACTGCTCTTGTAAAGGTCTTCAATGACATCCACTTAAACACAGACAGTGGCAGAACTTCAGTGTTAGTATTATTAGATCTCAGTGCTGCGTTTGACACTGTTGACCACAACATATATTACTAGACCGACTGGAAAACTGGGTGGGACTTTCGGAAACAGTTCTACATTGATTTGAATCCTACTTAAAGGAAAGAAACAACTTTGTTACACATACTATCCACTAAAGAACACATCTAGGATTAAAAGGACTAATTTCACAGCAGGAT